ACCCTGAAGACCCTAGTCCTGCCACTCCTCCTGTCTACTGCCAGTGTGGGCCTGAGGCAGGAGCCATGTAGCAGGACTGCCCTTCTCTCCGCCCACCCTCCAGAGCAGGGCCTGGGCAAGGCCAGGAACCGCATAGAAGCCTTCCAACGGTGAGGTGGCCATGAGGCTGAAGTGGGGAGGCGGGTGAGGCAGATAGTGGAAGAGCATAGTGTCTGGCTCACTCCAGGCTGGAAGTGGATTGGGCTTTCACCGCTGAAGGCACCTCCTTCTCTGATGTGTACAGTAAGGTGCTCAGTGGGCTCGGTTCTCCTCTCTGCAGGTCCCAGTGACTGAGAATCGGGACAGCGTCAAAAGTACTCCCAGTCTAAAACCATTCCCTCCTGGTGACCTCATGCCCGTCACGCAGGCGGGTTCTGGGCAGCACACAGTGAGCCTTGGCTCCAGGGCCCACAATGTCCTGCAGCCCCAGCTCCACCAGGCTGGCTCGAGGCCTTGTGCTATCTCTGCCTCTCTGGCCCTGGGACCATCATTTTTAAAGAGATGGCTTCCTTGGTTTTTTTCTGACTTGGAGATAGATTTTCCAGCCATGAAGATAAGAAGGGCTGGGACGAACCTGGAGATCCTATCAAGGAGTTTTCCGAAACCTCCCTGCTTCTGCAAGCTAAAGGCCTGCCTGCCAAGACTACAGCATCAAGTGGTATTCAGCCCTGAGCGGAGACATGGAGGGCTTTCCTCCCCCTCGTCTGGGGACAGAAACTGCAGCTCTATGCCAGTGCCCGTGTTTACAGAAGTCTGGGGACGGAGCCTATGTCCCCGAGGAGAAGACGGTCACCTGGAACTCGGTGTTGGCCTCAGAACTGCATTCTAATTATTTATTTATTTATACAAGGAACAGACCAAAGTCTCGGGTTCTGTTTCTAGGTGCTGTTATCAAAGCCCCAGATGACTGCCATGGAAAATTTGTGTCTTTGAGGAAAACAGCTAGAATTGTGAGACGTGATAACCTGCAGGTGTCAGTGGAGACAAAGCTCTAGCTTTCCCCCATTTACAGCTATAATCGGCATCCCCCTTTACCCTGACCCACATGAACTTAAAACTCTGCCACTTGGCCCAATATGTCAAAAGGACACAATCCCCTCCCATGTAGCTGGTGACTGTAGGAGAGGACATTTCAATCATGTAAATCCAGGTAAACAAAAATGGGAATTAGCAGATTAGCCAACAGGATACCTGAGGCTTTGGGTACCTCAGTCTTTCTGGACCTGCTGATTCCCCAGCCAAAAGTTGGACAGAATTTCTATTCTCTCCAGTGCACACTCACAGTTTATTTATATGCTGACACTTTAGTGCAGGCCAAGGACGGAGCCTTTTGTCTGCGCTGAGTAATCAGTAGCCACAGATGGACTTTTTTTTAGCAGAGATAGCCAACTCAGTTTGCTTTTTAATTGAGAATAGAGATGATGTGCCTTCATTTCACTTGACATTGACTCAGCGCACCTCAGTTCCATGCTGTGGCCTACACGAGAAGAGGCACAGGGAGGAAGGTGGGATGGATGCTCTAGAAGTCCAGAAGTGTGACGAGTTACAGTGGCGTGCTGTGCTCTTGGGCTGTGGGTGTATGACAGAATCACTGTCCTTTGAAATTCTAATTAACTTTCTGCAGAAGAAAGATTTGACTGCTTTTATCTTAAATATTAAAGGAATGACTTGACTTTTAGAGTACCCTTTGAACTTTTGCCGACAGCTTTTCATTTTGACATTTAAAGATTGTGAAACTTTACGTCTTTGTTCTATAAACTTCACCTTGTTCTCCAGTGCTTGACATTTACCTCTGGAACCAGCATCGTTGTAGGGGACCCTTTTCTAATTAAGATCTCCCTTTGGTCTAATGAGTATCGTTATGTAATACAGTTTTCAAAGTCTGCAGTGAGGGGAGTGACCTTGAATAGTCATATCTACATGAGTGACCTCTGAAGACCACTCCCAGAACTGACGGGTCCCAGTGGTACACCGGAAGACACAAACCACTGAGGGGGCCTGAAGGTCCAGAGTACCACCCTGATGCTTGTGCAGAATATAGATGTTCTCTTGACCTGTGTGTGTGCCTCATCACATTTGTGGCTGACTGCTGCACTCCTCTGGTGCGACTGCTGGCCTGTCGTCCAGGCAGAGTGTCAACAGTGCTCAACCGCTCTGGTGTCTGCCAGGACTGGGCAAAGTGGAGAACGGGCCTCTCTTATGAATAGCCGAGTGCCTGGCCCGTGCTGCTCTTACCCAGTTGCTCCTGAATGTGACTTTCTGATTCACCAGCCCAGATCACCTGCTCCTGGGAACCAGCCATTATCTGTGGAGTTCATCTCAAAGTGAGTTTTCGGAGCTAGCCTGGGCGACACTGTTCCCCACAAGACTGCCCCAACACTATAGCTCCCAGCCTACCTGAGCATGGGATATGGGTCAAATGTCAGCCCCTCTCCTTTTCTAAGGAAGGCAACTAGAAGGCAGGCTCTGGATCTGAGAGAGCAGGTGGGCACTCCATATCAAAAAGAAGCTTCTGCTTCTGCCTGCCTGTTGAACCGATGCCTGATCATTCACCCTGGCACCAACGGCTTCTGATCTTAAGAACTAATGCATTGTGGCTTCTGCTTTTCCATCCTCTCACCTGCTGCCAACCCTCTGAGGAGAGGCCGACTTAGCCCAAAGCTTGGTCATGTGAATGGTCTAAGCAAGAAGGCTCCAAGACCACCACCTTGACTGGCTGCTTATCCGCAGGAGCCTCCTCTGGTACCTCTTGCACTGACACACTGGTATCCAGCCGTAAGGACGGGGGTGGGTGGGGAAGTCAGCCCGTCACAGCGCTCCCCTCCCTCCACAGAGAGGTGCTGATGAAAATCTGAGGACTCTTGCCTGTCTGCGTGGATGAAACACTAGATTGCAAAACAACGTTTCCACCTGTCTGTGGAAAACATTTTGTTCTTAAGCTTGCTTAACAGCAACTGCCAGCACTTGGAACTAGCTGCTGAAACTCACCCGTGGTATTCAACCTGGTACACCTGCCCAGATCTCAGGCCTGGAATAGTCTGAGCATCTTCCTGTCACATTTGTTGGCTCACACATCTTCAGTCGTTTCTAAAAGCTGTGCGAAGAACCTCCAACTTTTCCTCATTTGCTGCCTCTGCGAGGTGGGCCCATGAGGTACATAAGGAGAATTCGCATCAAAGATCTGGAAGTGAAGAGGCTTTGCTGTCCCACCCCAAGCCCTGTGAACCCAGACCCACAGGGTTGTCAAGGACAGATTGCATTAAGGGAGACCAAGTGGCTGTTTGAGACACACAATAAATGCCAAAAACTCAAATATGGTTTCATTTGAATTCTGATTTTGAGGAGTATATCCTGGGTGCTTATAGTTCCAGTGAGGGGCAGGTATGGGGGATGGTCCCAGAAGTTTCAGTAACATGATCATTTGTATCTGTACCTGGCGGCCATTCCTTGGGAGTTCTAGCTGATGGGGCCAGAAGTCAGAATGGAGCGTTCCCCCTGCACCTGCCTTGGGCTCAGCTCCGGATGCCCAGGGAAGATTCCTGCACTCAAGCCCAGTCGGCCAGGGGATGTCAAGCTGATTAAAAAGCAGTTGTAACTGGTATGTATTGCTACAGGAAGGCTAGGGCATAGGGACAACAGGACACTTACACAGCATAAGGATGGGGGAAAGTGGCAGAAAAGGCTTTCCAAAACTGGCACCTGAATTGGGTAAAGAAACAAAGGGACAGCTGTCAAAGGCCTGAATTTGGAATGCCATGGAGGACGTTATGAGGCCAAATAAAAGCCCTCACTAGTGGCTCGCTCAGTCTGTAGGTACAGCATGTAATTCTTTATCTCAAGGTCATGAGTTCAAGCCCCAAATTGGGCATGGAGCATACTTGAAAGAAAATACAGAATCCCCTACCGGGAGACTAGATTCCAAAGCCTTTGTGCACACTGCTACAAGGGCCAGTTCACTGCTGGGGGCTAAGCCAGCATAGGAGGGGTTTCTGGGGCCCTGTTTCCAGCCTGCCCTGATAGCGTGGGACAGATGGGCTGCCTTCAGGGGCTGATGGGGAGGATATAGCAGGTGAAAACCCAGGCTTGGCGGTTGTACTGACTTGACTTCAGACCTCACGCTGGCATCTCAAGCCTCGGTTTCCTTACCTGTAAAATGGTGAAGCCACACACCCTGCAGGACTTTATGTGAAATGATCTGCATAAAAACACCAAATCTTTTTTAAGAGGAATAAGGAGAACCAGATTTGAGGTGCCCTTCTAGGCGAAACATTAGGAATGAGAGGGGTTTTGTATTACAATAGCTCAAGATAAAGTATCAAGAGCAGAAGATGCCCAGTGCCCACCCCACAGTGCCTGTGATCATGTTATGTGTCATCACCTCACATCGCCAAATTAGGCAGGCCTGCCCCAGAGAAAGGCCACACAGTGTGTACCCAGTACCCGACAGACAGATGCTATTCAGCAGTCCACCAGTCTCAGGGGACTTGGGGGCCTCGGGTTCCTTTCAGAGCAAGCAATCTCAAGACGAGTAGGAGGCAGCAATCCAGCTACTTCCCCTCTGGCCCTTGAGCCAATCTACTGAGACATACCTCCCAAGGAGCCCAAGGTTAGCAGCAGGCTTGTGTAGAAGGCTTAATGCTGTGCAGGAAACCAAGCAGAGCAATGGAACCGGAATAGGGGACACGAGGAGGGAGGCCACACCTAAGAGGGGAGGAGGACTGTGGCACATTAAGGGCTGGATGGCCTCTCTGCCCGGCCAAGTGGGTTTTCACAGGGACAGTCCCAGAGCTTGGTTGGGAACGGAACACACAACCACCAGAGAAGTAAAATAGTCTTTTTATTATGTACAGGCTATATGTAAACCACCCACCCACTCTGAAAACAGTAGGTTCTGGCTTTTCTCAGGGCACTCAGAAGCTTCTTGGAGACCGTTCCTTCCCTTGAGAAAGGGGAATATAAGTGTGTGCATGCATGTGCATGTGTATGTAACCTTCTGATTCCATGAGATCTGACCAGCCTCATCTAGCCACATGCCCCTCCTTGCCTTAAACCCTGGCTTTGAGTTTCTCTGGTCCAGGAGGAGACCTCAGCCTAGGGCAGGCATAAGCCAATCATTCAACCTCCATCTTGTTCTTCTGCAAAGAATCAATGAAGGTTTGCCACTCCGCTGGGTAAAAACGCTTATAGACGTTGATCTTATTCCGAATCTGTTTCGGGGTATCTTGGTAGTAATTCTTCTCATCCCGGGCCATAGCCTAAGAAGGGAGAAGCCACTTGAGGAGGGCTGGACAGGCAAAGGTTCAAATTCTAGTACTGTTTGAGCTGGGCAAGCCACTTAGTGTCCCTGAAGTCCAGGTTCCTCACCTCAAAAACCATGGGGTATGTGGGGAAATGGGTGCAAATGCCCTTGGGAACCAGGCAGGAGCTGCGGCCAAATATAAGTGGCTAATGCTCCGTCCATAGCTCACTGATCCCACTTGGGCACCAGAATCCAGTGCAGTCAGATCTTCCAATTTTTAAGAGAAGTCAAAAATATTAACTTTAATTCGAAAACTCTCATAATTAAAATGGCACCTAGTTCAAGTTCTTTAAAAATACCATGCAAATAAAACTACATGTCTGAGTGAAATATGAACCACAGGCCAATCAGTCTATTCTGGCTACAAGCATCTGTCCATGAGATCAATTTCCTAAAGTCTCTCTTTCCTTCATTTGCACTCAGTCTTAGGCAAGAGACAAGATCAGACCCCAAACGGTCCAGGGCGCCTTCCTAACAGACCCAACTGGTTCTTCCTGCCAGGCCTGAACCACTCACCTTATAGTCCTCCCCATGATTCTCCACCATGTAGCGCACATAGTCAATGAGGTCTCGAGACAGCGTGTTTCCTTTCTTTTCTGGAAGGCTGGCTTCTGCCTCCAGGTCTACGGTGAGAGAAACCAGGACACAGAAAATGACGTTTTGCCTCCCATACTTTTTGAGTTGCCCCATCACCCTTTCACCCCATCCCAAACCAAGGCCATCAGATGGGCTTTGCCTCTCCAGCCCCAAATTCAGTGCTCTTCAGCCCCTGGGATTCCAGGCCCTGCCTATGACACAATCATCTATCACTGTGGCAAATACCTAAAAGGTAAGTCATCTCTCTTGGGTCTCAGCTGGGTAAAGGGCAGGGACCAAATTAATAATCTCCACTTAGTACTGGGTGCTGGGGACAAAGGTGAAGATACATTGCCTACCACAAGTCGTGGCTTCACTGTTAAAATAGCTAGGCAGGAGCATCTGGGTGGCTTAATCAGTTAGACATCCGACTCTTGGTTTCAGCTCAGGTCATGATCTTATGGGTCGTGAGATTGAGCCCCATGTGGGAATCCATGCTGACCATGAAGTCTGCTTGTCCTTCTCCCTCTACTTCTCTCCCCACTCTCACTCTCTCCCTTACTCCCTGGAATAAAATCTTTAAAATTAATTAATTAATTTAATTAAATAGGTAGGCAAATACTCCCCATTTCTCAAGTAGGAGAAAAACAGCTCAGGGAAACAAGGTGGTCAAATGTTATCCAGGGGTTAAGTGCTAAATTGCTTATAGTCGAAATTATCTTTGACTTGGTTGCCAGGGGCTGGGGTGGGAGGGAGGCAGGGAAATGGGGAGTTGTTTAATGGGTAGAGTTCCATTTCTGAAGATGAAAAAGTTCTGGAGATCTAATGCATGACAACATAAACATACTTAACACTACTGAGCTATATAATTTAAAATGATTAAGATGGTAAACTTTATGTGATATGTTTTCTACCACAATTTTAAAAAATTCTTTTAAGAATGAGAAGTAAAAAAAAAAAAATTTAAAAAAATGAGAAGTAAAACATTTAGAAATTTGACAGAAAATACACCTGATTTTATTCATACAATCCTTTGCAGTAATTCTTACCAGAATTCTTATGAGAATCACTGATAGGAACTCAAGAAATTCTCTATCAAATGCCTGGCCATTTAAAACCCTTTTAACTTAAGGAGAACCATTAACATCTTGGACAGATAAGAGGAAGATGAGTAGAGAATTTCAGAGTATTCCTGTTTCCCTGCAGAATTTACTCTGTTTTAATATTCAGTCTCTATAGCATTAATAAACATGAAACTGATTTGTCACTACAAAGATTAAATAAGATGGTGGAATCTATAAAAATCTGTTCATCCTTAAATTCATGACAAGCTGAACATGTGCCCGAGACACTGGTTTCTTTTCTATCCTCTCGGGCACCTGGCTGCATCCTCCCTGAACATTTCTGACCTCACTTCACATGTTTGAGTTTATTAAGTAGACTGAAAATATCCCAGTCAGAGACAGTCTTAACTTTGTGAGCCCTGGACCAGCTCCCTTCTTCCCTCCGAACCTCAGTTTTTCCATCTGTAAAATGAAGACATCTGAGGGCCCTTTCTGGCCCTGACTGTGCAGCAAGGTGACCTAGAGGAATGTGGACAGCACCCACCGTTTAGCACATAGGGCTTCCGCACAAGCTCCTTAGGCCTCTCCTCTATGTCCACCTCCATGGCCTTCACCTGCAGAGAACAGAGCCTGTGAGACCAGTAGACAAAGGAAGAATCTTAGATGAGGGAAAATTCTAGAGGCTCCTGCCCATCCCAACACGACTGATTATCCATAAGAATCCCTACACATATTCAGGCAGGAACAGATGACTGAGAGAACCAATGCCCCGGAGGCCTTATGGTTTCCAAAAGGGACTCGAGGAAGCAAGTCATCTTTCTGTGCCTATCTAAAAAATGAGCATAATGCTCCTTGCCTACCTCACCTCATGTGTGCTAATCAAATGAAACAATGCCCATGAAAGCTCTTTGTAATTTACAATGAAAAGATATCAGGGGCACCTGGGTGGCTCAGTGGGTTAAGCCTCTGCCTTCAGCTCAGGTCATGATCTCAGGGTCCTGGGATCGAGTCCCGCATCGGGCTCTCTGCTCAGCAGGGAGCCTGCTTCCCTTCCTCTCTCTCTGCCTGCCTCTCTGCCTACTTGTGATCTCTCTCTGTCAAATAAATAAATAAAATCTTAAAAAAAAAAAAAAAAAAGATATCAGATATCTTCTCTATGAAGAGGAGCAACCTGACAGTGCTTGGCTATAGCTTCACATTTGATCAAGAAACAGTAGTGCAATTTTCCTCTGGCATGAAGGGCTAAGAAGAAACTTATCTAAAAGCAATGGCACAGGGTGCCTGGTTGGCTCAGTCGTTAAGCATCTGCCTTCAGCTTAGGTCATGATCTCAGAGTCCTGGGATGGAGCCCCGTGTCAGGATCCCTACGCAGCAGGGAGTCTGCCTCTTCCTCTGCCCTTCCCAAGCTCCACTCTCAGCTTGCTAATAAATAAATAAAATCTTTAAAAATTATTCAAATAAATAAGTAAGTAAAAGCAATGGGACAAATCCAATCAGCAAGTCCATTCATTAGGTTAACTATTGAGCACTAGTTATATTCTAACCACCACTGGACAAAACACAAGGTCCTTGTCCCCAAGAAGATTATGTTGAGGGAAAGAGGCACATGCAATAAACAAATAAATATATAAAACACCGTCAAGTATTTACAAGTGCTATGAGTTAAAGCTGGAAAGAAATTACTGGGTAAAAGAGTTCTATTTTTTAAAGTGTGGTGCAGAAAAAGACTTATTTGGGAGAAACTAAGGAAGCCTCAGACCAAGGATAATTAGATGACTGGGGGAAGGTGTAAGTAAGAGCAAGTAAAAATCCCAAACTCTGGGGAGTCCTTACTAGGAAAGTGAAGGGCAGAAAAAGATAAATCCTGAGACATACCATTGAGATCCCAAGGGACCCAAACAGGTTCATTTCGGAGGGATAAAGAAAATGAGTGGAGAAGAAAAGAGGGGAGCTCCGACCCAGGTCCAATGTGTGCTGGGAAGTAGGAGTGGGTAGTAAAGAGCCCTTCAACCACAGTCAGTGCAAGCTGCCGGAGCTGGCTAGAGGAAGGTCGCAAACCCAGGAAAGGCGTAAGCGTGGCATCCACAGGAAGAAGTTCTTAAACTCAGCTAAGTATGGAGGCAAACAGGGATGAAGGGCGGTGACCCTGCCATGTCAGTACCTTTCTCTTACGGAGGGGAACCGCCTTGTTGGGGTCCATAACCAACCCCATCTCGGCCAGGTTCTGCCGCACGGATTTGGCGTGGTCCCAGGCATGTCGGATGTGGGAGCTACAGGCAAAGAGAGAGAGATCACGGAACCGTCATCTCGCCGGCCGTCCCAGCCGAGGTCCCCTGCCTTCCAAACCCCGGTCCCCTCACCACTCGATCCGTGGCGCTGCTTTCCGTCGAGCATTCCGGTTCAGCCGCTTCCGGTTAACATTGTAACCGAACTTCTGTCTCCTGGTCTTCCCCTTGGCTTTGGGCATTTCCTTGACCACCGAACCGACAACTATAACTGGATGCCTCTCACGCAGCGCCTCGTGTCTCAGACTACTTCCTGTGGATGCTCGCACGGGTTTGCGGGCGTTTTCGGGAAATGTAGTCCACCCTATAGAGACATCATGCAGATTACTATAATGACTACGACTCCCAGAATGCAACGAGCGGTTGGCGTCTGCGTACAAGCTCAGCAAATCCCTTCCCCCCCCTTCAATGACCTCATCAGAAGGCGGAGCTTAGCGTTCGCATTTTTTCCCAAAGCAGCTTCCCGGGACATGGCGGCTCCTGGTCCTGTGACTCCGGGGCCACCCTTTGAACCAGCACAGCCCCCAGTCATTGAGGGCTTTAGCCCCAGTATCTACAGCACTCAAGAAAGCTTCAAGGAAAAATTTCTTCGCAAGACCCGCGAGAACCCAATGGTACCCATAGGTAAGCAGGTGTTGTAGGAACTGTAGACGGAGAGGATAGTGATGTCTGAGGGAATGAATTAGGTGAGGACCGGGAACGCCAAGGGGGAAGGGAGTGAGAGCGGACCAGAGTTGTGGCGCCGGGGCCGGGGGGTGAGAGGTGATCCTGATTGGAGCAGGAGTTGGGCGGGATTGGGGGGCTGAGATAGGGCGAGCCCTGTAACTGGGAGGACCCTTCCTCGACCAGACCCTCCCACTAGGCGCCCTCTGCCTCCGATGTTATTCAGAGCTCTGGAGTCCGAGTACTGGAGGCCCACAGCGGGGAGGGGCCTCCAGCGCCGGAACGTGCTACTCCCCCACTTTGTCCCCTCCTCAGGCTGCCTGGGCACGGCGGCCGCCCTCACCTACGGCCTCTACTGCTTCCACCGGGGTCAGAGCCGGCGCTCTCAGCTCATGATGCGCACCCGGATCGCTGCCCAGGGCTTCACGGTCGCAGCCATCTTGCTGGGTCTGGCTGCATCTGCTATGAGGTCTCGATCCTGAGTCCGAGACCTGGTCTTGAACGTTACACAGAGATCGTTTCCGGCCCCAGGAGCAACCACCGGCCCCGCTACCTGACTTATTCCTTCGTCTCCCCTGACAGGTACCCCCTATCAGCGGGGGAGGAAGTGGCCAATTGTGTAACTGACAGATGTTTTTTCAGGAATCTCGGATTCGTTTCAGTTTGGGTGTTGCATACTTGTATTTGTGCCCCACTCTCTTCACTTCCTACTTAATAAACTGACCACTTGTAGTTTGGTGATTTAATTCTCAATCTAGCACCCCCAGGGTTTTTGGTCTTTGGTTTTAGGAGATTGTCTAAAGACTATAGGAGCCCTTAGAAATCCTATAGTGTAATGATTACCAAACTTTTCTGGTAACAATCACCTGGGGGAACTTGTTAAAGGTAGATATTCGGTTCGGTATAGTGATGCTATTTTGGGGAAAAAAAAAAAAAAATGATCTTTCCAACAATCTTCAGACTTTCAACAGGAAACCCTTCGTTCAGATGAGACTGGCCATGACCCTGTCCCAGGAAGGGAGGTTCTGCCCTCCACTTTGCTTCTGCTCCTCACCCCACTCCCACCTCCTGAGATTATCTAGGCTCCACTGATGTAGACTACCCCCACTTGATTCTTGATGCATCTTAAAGAACAGGAAACTGAGCCTCAGAGAAGGCAGCATGGTGGAGTGGTAAGAGCGTAGTCACAAAGCTTGCCATTGTTTTGTGTATCTAGTGTTTTAGGATTAAGGAAGAAAAGGGGCTGGAGACCTTGAGCGAACTCTACACGAGGCAACCTGTGAGTTTCTCATTCATGCAAAGTCTCAAGTATTCCTGGACTGTGGTTAGATCTAAAGTGTTGATTCAGTGGGACCCAGTTTCCTTCCATGTATGACTCCATCAATTTCAACACCAGCTGCAAGCTGCCAGAAAGGAAAGAGGAAGTAAGGAAGACACACTTACTTTTTGGGCCCCCTAACACCCTCTAGCTTTCTAAGTGGAGAAGTGTATGAGTAGGGCCCCCCTAAGTTGCTTGCTCCCATCATGGTCTCTCAGTTATAAGGCAGAGATTATAAATGTGAAGCAGTACATTGTGGTGATGGATTCAAGAACTGGATAGGAAGGGGTGAGGACTATGGCACTTCTAAAGAGGAAAGCCATTATTTTAAGCTGTTGGTGTTATTGTGTTCCCCTAAAAAAGATATGTTGAAGTCCTAACCCAGTATCTCAGAATGTTATCTTACTTGGAAATAGGGTCTTTACAGTGATAGTTAAGTTAGAATGAGGTCATTAAGGTAGGCCTTAATCCATTCTGGCTGGTTTCCTTATAAAAAGGGGAAATTTAGGGGCGCCTGGGTGGCTTAGTGGGTTAAAGCCTCTACCTTTGGCTTAGGTCATGATTCCAGGGTCCTGAGATCGAGCCCCGCATCGGGCTCTCTGCTCGGCGGGGAGCCTGCTTCCCTCTCTCTCTCTCTCTGCCTGCCTCTCTGCCTACTTGTGATCTCTGTCTGTCAAATAAATAAATAAAAATCTTTTAAAAAAAAAATAAAAAGGGGAAATTTAGACACAAAGATAAGACTGCATAGATGATATGAAGATCAACTCGGGATTGTAGTGATTCATCTACAAGTCGAAGAATGCCTGAGGCTGCCGGAAGCTTGGAGAGAAGCCTGTACAACAGATCCTTCCCTAGTGCCTTCAGATGGAATGTAGCCCTGCTGACACTTTGATTTTGGACTTCAGACCTCCAGAATAGTGAGAATAAATTTCTGTTGTTCTGTGCCAGACGCTGTGGTACTTTGCTATGGCATCTCTAATAAAATAAAGACAGTTGGCAATTACTCAAATCTTTTTAAACATTGTACAGGTCACAGTGACTTAAATGCAGCCTGTTTGCAACCTCTGCTGAAGAAGGTATGGTCGCTGAGTATTTATCCCAGATCTACAAGGTGGGGGACAGCTATCTGAAGGAGGGAAAGCATTGAGCCTTCCACATCCAGAGGGTACTGGCCAGACCAAGGAAAGGAGTCTGGCAGCAGCGACCTTCACCAGCCTCGACCCGGGCTTAGAGGGAGCCACCACAGGGAACCTCTGGTCTTGCCTCTTTGCTCCCACTTAAACCTTCTTACTCTCTGGGAGCCTTGGTATCCATGGCTATGTGATGACGACAACAGAGTCCCTACCTCACAGGCTTATTCAAAGATCAGAAAGGATCAAGATTGCAGAAGCATTCCACTAGAGGTTGTTTTTCTTCCTGGAGAGGGAGGAAGCAGACATACACAAGTTGGGACACCTACTTCCAGCTGGGACGGTTTCCAGGGGGCTAGCTTCACCTTCTCTCAAGGCCATGAAGCTGGGAAAATTCTAAGCACAAACAGCCCTGACACCAGTTATGGCTTCCAGAGAAATGAGAATGATAATAAATAAGTGTAAAAAGAGTTAACAACACACCCTTTAAGCCAAGAAAAAAAAAATACATCAGGAGGGACAGTCACAATTTTGTGGACTGAGAGGAGGTGTGAGAGGCTGGGCCACAGGGCCAGGAGGGAATGGGGTGAGAGTGGGGAGGGTTCCCCTTCCCAGCCCCGGGAGATGGGGAGGAACAGATAGGCTGTGTGTAGCAGCTGCTGGAGGCGCTGTCCCCCAACCCTGGCCGAAGCAGCTGCTCCTCCTGTGCCCAGGCCCAGCCCATGCTTTGTGGCCATGCTTGTGACAGGCACCTAGCGGGACAGCGGTGTCTGCTTCAGGGACATGAGCACCGAGCGCAGGCGGGACACATCTTTGCATTGCTTGCTGCTCTTGGGGTTGAAGTCACAGAGCTGAGCCACCTTCTCCCACTCTGTGCCTGGCGTCTCCTCCTTGGATTCCTTCACAAAAGCCTCCTCAGATGCCCTGCAGGTAGAGACAGGACAGAGGTTTCATTGCTGTCTGCCTTTCCCCTGAATCAGTGATGTTCTGCTCCCACTGAGGAAGTTGCTTTGCCCGGCCTACTCTGAGGTAGTCTATCCAGGGTTCTTAGCCCTGTGCCCCGTGACCTCAGGCCCCCAGGAACAGCCTTGGCATCAGAGGAAGCCTACTCTGGTCCTGCCTCAGGGCCTTTGCACTTGCTGTCACTTCTCCCTGGAATGCTTTCTGCCAGACCTGCTCATAGCTTGTCACTTCTTTTCATTCAGGTCTGAGTGCAGGCCTCACCTTCTCAGAATGATCTTCCCTTGCTAGCCTAGCTACGGTAGCCTCTTCACCCTCCCCTACCCCTGCCCAGCCTAGCACTCTTCATCACCTCTCCGGCCAGAGCTCCCAACCTGGGAATCCCAACACCCAAAGACCCTTGGAGGAATTAATGTAGTACCTCAGCTATTTTAAACATTTCCAGAAACTTAGCAGAGGTAGGACATTAACTAACCACCTTACTAAGTGAAGTACCTGATTCAGCATTGCCTCGGTGTTCTGTGGACCCTGTAAGTGTTCTCCGGAAAAAGGTTGTGGTCAAATACACATGGAAAATTCAGTTAAAGAGGATCTTCAAAGCAAAACTTCCAAAGCCTCTAATGTGCCAGGGTGCACCCTGAACCTCCCAGGCAGACTGTAAGATGCAGACAGAATCCACCACATTCCAAGTTCATTTGACTATAGCGCTCTTTTTAGCCCAGAATGACTTATCTCCGTGGAGCCACAGCCTGGGGAATGCTCCATGGAAGTATCTGCTTTTGGTTGGAATCAGGTTAGGCTGAAAACTGGGGGTTTCTTCATCAGTAGTTCTGGTGGACAGTTATAGAAGCCACTGATTAAGGAACAATGGAGAAATAGAACGTAGAGTGCAAACCCAAATGCGGGACTCATTAAGAGGAAAACAATTAAAATATCTTCCATGAAGAGGGCTGGGTCTGTGTCCTCTGGCCAGCAAGGGTTCCTGGAAAGCCTCTTTCTCCTTATGGCCCCTTCTGTGTATCAAGCAGGATCAGCTCTGCCACATGCCAGGCAGGGAGCTCTCCCAGTGATCCCCACAGGCTGTGCCAAGGATGAGCTGGCCCTGGGGTCGGGGGGGTGGGGTGACCTGGCCTCTGCCTAGTGATTTTCCTTTCCCTCTGTGTCCTCATTTCCTAACCTGTAGAGAGAGGAGCAGAGCCTCCGCCTTGCTGATCTGTCTCACCAGCCTGAGAATCTCACAAGAGTGGCAAGGTGTGTGCAGGCTTGGGAAAGAGTAAAGCACTGTGTGGAGCTGGATGACCAGTGGGATGAAGGGTGCTGTCTTAGGAGCCGTCCCTGCTAGATCAGCAGGAGACTGTCCTCTAAACTGCCTGTTCAGTGTGTGGTGCATGGACCAGTGGTATTGGCCTCGCCATGGAGCTCATTGGAAATGCAGACTCAAGGCCTCCCCTCAGCCCTACTGAATCCCAGTCTCCTTTGAATAAGGTCCCCCTGTGATTTTAGGGCACAGAAAAGTCTGGGAAGCATTGGTCCAGGCTCTTCCCCTCTCCAGGACCCCCCCCCCCGGGTGCTATTTCCTCAAGTACAGCGAGAGCACTGAACCCCCTATATAGCGTATTCTCCAGCACCGATATTCCAGTCACCCTGACTCTTCCATCGGAAGCCTCCCGTAGATCTTCACTGCCTTCAGGATCGAGCCCCAGCTGGCAGACCTGGCCCAACAGGCATTTTGCAACTAGGCCCAGGCTGACCTGTCCTCAGCTCCCGGCCATCCCCACGGCCCCATGCCCCACTCAGAGAGGCTGCCCTGCCCTCTTCCCACCATCACCATCAAGCTCATCCCTTCTCACACTGTAAGGTCCAGCTGAAGGGCCTGCCTCTCTCAAGCCTGCCCTGGCTCCCCCCGCAGACGGTGGCTCCCAGGCCTCGGTGTGCCCTTCCACACGGCCCTTAGGACAATGCTGTCCTGACCATGAGCAACTTGTGGGGCCAGGCCATGTCTTATTCCTGTTCCAACACAGACTGGCATTGGGCAAGTCCCACTAAGTACTGGACAGATGGGACAGTGGACAGAAGGAAGGAACACAAGGCTGTTTCTCTGGTGGGCCCTCTGCCCCTGCGAGAGAAATGCCAGCCTAGACAGCATCAGAGGCCTGCTAAGGGTGACCCCAGAGTGAGGAACACCAAATACTTGGCACGTGCACCCATGGCGAGCATCACTCATTCATCCCTGCTTTTCCTTCCCCTTCACCATCCCAACATACCCTCAAGCTGTCAACCACCCATCAACAGGGGCCCCATCTGCCATCTCAGATCCAGATTAG